TTTTTATCAATAAATTTTTATTATTTTTGATCGCAACATATATTACATCATGTATTATTATGTTATACGAATCAAAACGTAAGTATTATATTATATTATATTATATTTGCATAGCAATTACATACGTCAGTCATCAGGCAATCTTGATGTGTAATAGACAGTGTAATTGAACGTGTTTCTATGTCTAATCTGTGATCGCTCCCCCCGCAAGATCGGAAAGAGATATTCACTCAGAATCCTATTTATCCAACGCGGCCAGAGGTGGCTGTATCCAAATGGAATTTCGTATCCCATAGGGGAACAAATATTGCAAATTACCGATAACAATCAACCGACAAGGGGCGGTGATTTCAAGGCAATTTGAAGCCACCCTCCGTTCTAATTTCCATTGATTTCGTCGTCTAAATCGCGACAGATGCAATCAACTGTGTTGCACTGCGCAAAGAATTACTCAGTTAAAGTTTACATCGAACATTTATATTAACCACGTATGTGATATACCTATAAACTTACATTCACGTATCTATTCTAATTCGATTCGGTAATTAACACGTTTGAAATGAGAAATCTGATACGGGATAGTTATTATTTTAATTCGCTCGGAGGGAACTGTGACGCGTTAAAAATTGTCCCGCAAAGGGCTGCCTTCTCAAATCATCAAAATTATTACGAGCATCTTTATTTTCATAACTCGATGCCACTCAATTTATTCAGTCTTTATGCATTTATTCCGGCATTTCTACGATTCCGAGGCCCTTTTCCAGCGAGCCAACGTGAAGAAGACGGCCAGCCGCTTTGCTGCCCCTTGAATTAATTCCCTGCATACGTTAATCTTAATGAATTCACAAACGCGCCCCATCGTGTCCGACTCCAGGAGTACATCGGCGAGGGTTCCGCTTACAGGTGCCAGCACGCAAACTCGAGGCTACGAGGCGAGCCATTAAAATATCACCCTGTGTACTTACACACTACATGCTGACGTTCTTTCTTCTTTCTGCACGTCGCGTCGCGTCGCATTTATGCGACGCCACGCGATGTCACGTTACCGAAAGTTGCACGAGCACCGTGCTTCTTCTTCTTTCATTTTTTCGTCGTATTTACATTTATATTTATTTATTTACTTGTTACAGAGCACGCTATAGTCGAATGAAGAAAACGAGATCGCTGATGATCTTAAGCAAGATTATCTCTTAATTTATTTTCAACGAAATTACGATGACGTGAACGCGTATAAAAGAACAAAGATCAAAAAGCGATTCAAAGAATTCGTTAATTAAGCAGTGCAATGGAAATAGAAGATTGGCGTGCCATTTGCGAATCTAATGAGACTGGTCGTGTACACAGGTGCGCTGCATCGCGTATTTTTATTCTGAATTGGCAAGATGATTCGGCGTGATGATTTTTCAGGACGAAATATTTAAGTGTAGAAAGCAATAGATGCCAGAGACCATAGAGTCGCACGAATGCCTCAGGAAGATAAGTAGCGACATGGTGAATAGACTAACGGGGTGGTGCAAAAGCAGGGAACGAAGAAAAAGGAATGAAAGGGGATAGACGGCGTTGAGGATTGGTGGTTTTATGCATCATGCATATTTACGCTCACATACTAGCTGTAGAAGATGACGAAGCGGGCCGGCGAGGGTTCCACAAATTGCGAGGACCGTATTTATGCAAATGTTCGGGCATTCGCGTTACACCTTGTACCATTTTCCTTGCCGATCTTTCATTCAACAAATTGACTTCGTTAGAGTTTGACTTGAATCTTTCAATTCTATGCGTTATCAGAAAAGGAAAAGGAGGAGAGGAGAAACGAAGAAAACGGAGAAAGAAATGAAGAAAATTAAGAGAGATAGCAGAAAACATATAGTGTGAGCAGATAGAGAAAGTCGTATTGAAAAATAAAAATTTACGTTGCAAGATTTGCTTGGGATTCTCTTTGCAATGCTTGCAACGTTGACTCGCAGACGCGGAAAAGCGAACGCCGGAAAAGGGAGCGCAGAGAGAACGCGGGAAAACGCGACTGTTAAACCGTTCCCTGAGAGAACAATCTCGATATCGCGGCGAGCGACGTGTTCTCTATACTAGGAGAAACGTTTCACATCCAATTTATTCCTCTCGTTTCGAAGTAATCGCTCGCCAATGACTTTCTCCCCCTCATTTCCTCGTTCTCGGAGTTTGATGCTCGTCAGGTCGTATGCTTTTCGCAAAAGCATGCACCGAGATCCCGTCATCCACGGAACCCTCCGGTTCTCGTTGCACCTCGCCCGTATGTTTCATAAGGGTGAGTCGCTGGAGCCAACCCCCTTTGCGCAAGCCGCTTTTCACCGACCAATCCGCGTTAAGTCGTCCCGACTTCCACCCCTCAAGGCCGAGTTAGCCCGACCAATAGGCAAGTCGCTACGGCCACGGTACGGGGGTGGCATGGCGCTACCACCCCCAAAATGGCTGCGAAATCGCGCGAGCATTAGGCAGTCCGTTCAAAATAAACGGGCGGATTAATTGGAGCAGGGTGGCGCGGGGCTCCGTTCGACGCTACCCCAGGCCTAACTCGCGTGGTAACTTTTCCTCCACCCCCACTTCGGTATTCAGCAACGTGCGCTTGTCAAGGAGGATGACGACGATACCAGGTTCGGACAGGCACATCCGGTCATCTCTCGTGATCCTCGGCAACGCATAACGACGCCAGGCGTCCGCACGTTAGCATGAAACTCGACTCGTCCGTGGCTAAGGTGTTCTCGCGCCAACAGATCACTCACAGCTCAGCTAGTTCACGCGATCTTATATCTCTAATCAAATCGTTATTTCCCTCGGTCGCTTAGTTCGTTTTTTTCGCCCGAGTGTAATGATGCAGGAGCACAAATCGTTTCTTATAAGGGATCTCCTAGGGGATGTTCTGTCCGAGCGGGTGCACGGTGAGTTCACTTAACTAAAGTCCTTTCTCTTCGGTGTGCAATTCCTTAGAAATTCTTATATTTTTCAAAATCGGAAAAAAAATTTTTTGCTTTGCATCTCTTGTACGTAGAAATAACTTTTGCCTTTTTTTTTCTTATTAGAAAGATCTTTATTCCCCTAAAAAAAAAAAGATCGTTAAAATAAACTAGTATATACGTTTTACTTTAAAAATAGAAATTCGAAGCGTTCCGATTTCGATCTGATTCTGAATAATTAAAAAATCAAGATTTTTATTGTGCGCGATAACAGTCGCGTGGCTTGTCGCCGGGATCCTCGTTACACGGTATCCCGCAGTGCGGCTCTATTATTTTTACTCAAGATTCACAGCCCTAGGGGTGATCAGGGCCCCGGCAGGGTGGTGCCCCATTATCGACAAACGTACAGATGGCCTGAACTGCGGAAGGATTCGTTAGCTCTCGTTAGTCCGAATTTTCATCGACGATTATCGCGTCCTGCTGCGTTTTGACGCCTTTATTGGCCAATCAGGATCAGACACCAACTGTTTTCGTAATTGAAATCATTTACCGTTAACCAAAAGCGATCGTGATCGTCCGATCGGCCAAGAACTTTATTCTCATTGTTCGAACATGTAATCGACTTTCTGACTGATAAGAATGGAACACGATACAGATCTAATGAAAAATAGTGTGAGCAGATTGGGTTTTATTAAATTTAATTTATTTAATAATCGTCGCGGGTGATTTTACTCCTATTGCGCTTGTACAATTAAAGATACGTCATTTCAGAAGATTCGGAGGATGATTCGGCCGTTCATTCCGATTCCGAGGACACGATCGATCCTGGAAGCAGTCCATGTACTCGATTAGAAAGTCCTCCTCCAGCTCTGTCACCGTCGCCGGCACCAACAACTTCCGGCAAGTCTTGTGGTACGACCAATGGTCCGCCAAGCGGTAGGAAGCCCAGAAGAAGACGAACGGCCTTCACCCACGCTCAGCTTGCTTATCTGGAGCGAAAATTTCGTTGTCAAAAATATCTAAGCGTCGCGGATCGTAGCGACGTCGCCGACGCGCTGTCACTCTCCGAGACCCAAGTCAAAACTTGGTATCAGAATAGAAGGTCATTATTTTCTTCGATAAGTCATTGAACAATATATTATTATTAATGTTATTCAGCGTCCTGTAAAGAAAGCAACTTTTTGCCACAGGACGAAGTGGAAGCGACAGAACCAACTGCGGCTGGAACAGCTACGGCATCAAGCAACAGTGGAAAAAGAGTTGCTCGTGCGAGGAGTAGGACTCCACCATGGCAGCATAGACGCTTATTGTCCACCTTACAACGCTCAGACCCAAACGCAGAGTCATCCGCCTCCACCTCCACCACCGCCGGCACCGTCCACCGCCTCTACGGCAGCGTTCCTCTCGACCGCTGCAGCTCTCTTCCGAAACGTTACCTACGTTCACGGATGTCCTCTCTAACCCGGCCTAACGCCGCGGTATCAGGACCGTTTTTGCCTTCCAGCCGCCGGCAGCCTTCTTCTTTTTGAAACATCCGCTTCGAACGTTTCAAGATCGGCACCGTCGTCGGAAATGGCTGCAATTAGACCTCGATGCACTCGTATTACTGATCATAAATCACCACGGTTCGCGCGAGTCGCTGGTCTTTTCCATCGAATTCTTCGGCATGCGTTTTGCTACGTCGCTCGTGCGTGCGAGAGGAGTTTCAGATCGTTTGTTCGGCTATACTTTGGATACAGATCACACGTTATCTCCGACACACAGTGAAGTGCACGAACTATGAAATGAAATGACGTAAATACGAACAAAGAGAGATTCGTTTGCAATAATCCCGATGTTTGGGGAGTTCTCCGTGACAATTAGGGTGAAATGTTTCGAGGATACCGTGTTTGGAGTTGTTTCTCGTGTTTATTCCTGCATGCGAGACACAGTGTACATATGTAATTAAAAACTTGGTCGGTAGTCGTAGTCGGTTTTGTTTTCGTTCACAACGACAAAAGGGGAAAGAGTATGCGAAATGAAATTGAGAATCTCCATCGTGCGCGAACTTCCGCTTGTTCCAGTTTAATTAAAGGTAATATCCACAGTCGAAAAAATGTTCCTTTTCCTTCGGAACGAACGAAGTCTAGTTAAGTCGATAGTCAGTCGAATTCCGTAGATGTGTCATAGGCTCTTAGAAAACTGTAATCGAGAAAGGGATGGAAAACGACATTTACTATGACGTGTGCGACGCTCCGGAGTAGGTACGATCATTCTTCCCTGTTTCTGCAATCACTGGCCAATTTTCATTTAGAGATCTAGTTCGCTGACGTTCACCGCTGATAAATAATCGATCACTTTCACCAGTTAACCGACAGTTTTTCGTCAACCGATGAATTCTTGTAGATAAATAAATTATCATCGAACAAAAACACTGCCTTGTAATTGTTCCTTTCACGCGCCACGTACTCGCTTTCATTTTATGATAACAGGTTATCGCATTTTTCTTTATTTTTGACCATTTTGTTTTTCTTTTTTTCTTTTTTTTTTTTTT